GCATTCTAAAGAGACACCCCCATGGTCTTAATTCCTGGAAAACAGTCATTTCCACTGTACAAAATTCAAAACCCAAGGGAGGCAGTTTGGTAATTTAGCATTCTTGTTTCATGTGAAAATATTATTTCTAGTTTATAATGGGAAGTTCACAGACATTGTGTCTTACCATTAAAAGCTTTCAGAAGTGTGTAATCTAGGCTCTTTATAGGTGTGTTCCCTATAAAGTGCACAGAAGAATAACATACCATTCTGTCTACAAAGAAATACCTTCAATATCTTCTGTTGCTTAAGGAAAAGTGTCTTTAATTTAGAGCTGAATTAGTCATACAGATAAACACTTTAAAGTCCTTGGAATCTGCAGTTAGTTTTAACAAGCTTTTAAGATAAATTAAGAGTGTGTTGTATCTGTTGTGCTGTGATGACTGTGGATTAGAAGAAGAAAACACAGAGGCTCATCCATTCAGGAATTTTTTTTTGGCATCATATTCTGTGCTAGACACTTTATGGAAGTTCTATATTATATGAATCTTGCCTTCAGGGATCTGAAATGAAGGCCCAGTATTGAACAGTGTTCCCCCTCCCCCAAATTCACGTCCACCTGGAACCTCAGAAAGTGGCCTTGCTTGAAATAAGGTCTTTGCAGATATAATTAAGATGCAATTAAAGATGAGGCTATACTGGATTAGGGTGGGCCCTAAATGCAATCACTGGTTTCTTTATAGGAAGAGGAGAGGACACACAGACATATATACACTCAGACACACAAGGGAGAAGCCCTCGTGAAAGTGAAGGCAGAGATTAGAGCGATGCATCTAAGAGTCAAGAAGTGCCAAGGGTTGCTGGCAATGACCAGAAGCTAGGAGAAGCTCCCTCCCTAGATCCTTTGAGGGATCATGGCCCTGCCAACCCCTCATTTGGGACATCTGGCCTCTAGAACTGTAAAATAATTCATTTCTGTGGTTTTAAACCACCCAGTTTGTGGTAATTTGTTACAGTAGCCCTAGGAATCTAATGCAAGCCCTCATCTCCAAAGAGTCTAGTTTAATTGGTGAACTTGGGCATCAGTACTTTTATAAAAGGTCCTCAGGTGATTCCATGTTTGAGAACCATCATTCTAGTTTGGTGATTTTTAAAGAAGCAGCAGCAGCAGCAACTGGGAACTTAACAGCAATGCAAATTCTTTGATCCCACACAGCCCTAGCAGATTCTAGGGGTGAGGTCCAGCAATTTGTAGCTTATCAAGCTTTCCAGATGATTGTGATGCCACTAATGTTTGAGAACCGCTGCTCTTATTGGTAAGGGAGGCTACAGAGCAATGGAAGATTATCAACAAATGGGAATGGAGAAAAGCAGTAGGCAGGAATATTTTAGAAAGTATGGGAAGAGTATTTGTATGTTGTCATGGGTGGCACTAAGACAGTGCATCTGAGAACCTCAACACCAGGCATTGCTTCAAAGTAAATGTGTGTCCAAACAATCATCTTCCAAGTTCAACTTTTGAAGGCAAACTGTTTTCAAGTTTGGGGAGCTATCCTTATAATGTTGTTGATATTAGGCCACCCAAACTCTTCCTTAAGATTGCATGTGGGCCAAAAATGGCAGGGTAGGAGACCCCAGCCTCCATCACTCAAAAGATCAACAATTAGACAGCTATCCACAGACAAAACAGCTCTAGGAGAGTTCAGGAGACGACTTAAGAAATTTAGCAAAACAGTGGAACAAAAAAACCTGAGAATAACCTCACAAAAAAGGAAGACAGCTTCATTTTGCTTTCATTATCCCATTCCCCAAGCCAGCACTGCTCAGCACCAAGAAGGAATTCCCCAGCTAGAAAGAGTTCCCCTCCCTGGGAAAGTGAGAGCACAGTGAGCAACCAGCTTGCCCAGTCTTTTGATACATGGCATGAAGGAGCTGCTTTGGTTTCACACCACCCAGAGATTGGCAAACTTGAGACATAATAGAAACAGCTGGAACAAGGAAGGGCATGGGCTACCAATATCAGCCACAGAGCTGGAGTGACCATGGTTCCCAGTGATCATGTCATCTGCATATAATGACAATTTTACCTCTTTCCTACCAATTTGAATACATTTTATTTCTTTTTCTTGTCTGATTGCTGTGGCTAGGAATTCCAATACTATGTTGAATAGAACCAGTGAGAGTGGGCATCCTTGTCTTGTTCCAGATTTTAGTTGAAGGCTTTTAGCTGAAGGTTTTCAGCTTTTCACCATTAAGTATTATATTGGCTGTGAGTTTGTCATAAATAGCTCTTATTATGTTGAGATATATTCCCTCTTTACCCACTTTCATAAGGGTTTTTATCATGAATGGATGTTGAATTTTATTGAATGCTTTTTCTGCATCTATTGAGATGATCATGTGGCTTTTGTCTTTTCTTTTATTGATGTGGTATCTCACATTGATTGATCTGCATATGTTGAACCATCCTTGTGACCCTGCAATGAATCCAACTTGGTTGCGTGTATCTTTTTACAAGCAGAAATGTTAACGATCAGAACTTCAAGTTCTTGGAACTCCCCTGGTGGTACAGTGGTTAAGAATCCGCCTGCCAATGCAGGGGACAAGTGTTCGTTCCCTGGTCCAGGAAGATCCCACATGCTACAGAGCAACTAAGCCCATGCACCACAACTACTGAGCCTGCACTCTAGAGCCCACAAGCCATAATTACTGAGCCTGCACACCACAACTACTGAAGCCGGCATGCCTAGAGCCCATGCTCCACAACAAGAGAAGCCACCACAATGAGAAGCCCACGCACTGTGATGAAGAGTAGCCCCCACTTGCCGCAACTAGAGAAAGCCCACGTGCAGCAACAAAGACCCAATGCAGACAAAGTAAAAAAAAAAATTTTTTTAATTAAAAAAAAAAAGGGAGCTTCCCTGGTGGCGCAGTGGTTGAGAGTCCGCCTGCCGTTGCAGGGGACACGGTTTTGTGCCCCGGTTCGGGAAGATCCCACATGCTGCGGAGTGTCTGGGCCCGTGAGCCATGGCCGCTGAGCCTGCGCGTCCGGAGCCTGTGCTCCGCAATGGGAGAGGCCCCAACAGTGAGAGGCCCGCGTACTGCAAAAAAAAAAAAAAAAAAAGAACTTCAAGTTCTTGTAGTGTGACTGTGCAGTCATAGTCTGGGGCATCTGCAGCATCTGCCTAGAGTCCTGATAGAGCTGCCCAAACAGTGGTTCATGTCTCACTGACATCAATATGTGTGGGTATCAAAAAATGCAGATTGTTGTGTTCTACTCCAGAGCTTCAGAATCAGAGTCTCTGTGGTTGGGAACTCAGGAACCTGGATTTTAACAATTTTCATAGCTGATATTTTGGTACATTGCATATTGAGATATCTGTCATAGAGAAAGCCCTGGATTCAAAGTCAACAGGCCTGAATTTTAATCTCTTGTCTAACATGTACCATGTAGTCCTGAGCAGTCCTTGTCACTTGTTTTGCAGCTTGGTTTCTTCACTGTCAAATGCAGATAATAATACTTGCCTTGCCCACCTTATAGGGTAATCATAAGGCTCAAAAGAGTTAAAACCTCCAAACTGCTGTAAACATTACAGGGCTAGGACCAGGGTGAGGACAGTGAGGGTACAAAATTTAAAGGGGCACAAAACAACTCTGTAATCAAGATAAATAATATTCTAATGAAATATTTTTTAAAACTAAGAATTAATGCAAAAAAATCCATGATAAACAAAACATCAAAATTTTCAATAAATACAGGATCAATGTTACCAAATTTTCCTTTGACCTCAATCTCTAATATAGTATAGCAACAACATCATTGCTAATCCCATCTTTATTTAAAATTTTGATGCTTTGATCATCTTGGGGGTTTTAGTATTAATTTTGATTTTTTAACAATACATCATCAAAATGTTATTTTCTTATTACTTGAGGAGTGATTGGCACCCGCTTAAATGTTGTGCCCAAGGCAAGTGCCCCACAGGCCTCACCCGCCTCATCCTAGTCCGGGCCCTGTGGCTGTGCACCTGCAGGTTATCTGGCTCTGACTCTTCTAGCTCCAAAGTTCTCTCAAATAGTATATACACACGTCAAAGGCCCTGCTGGCATCTTGGCTAAATTCCAACTATTTTTTTCTTTTATAAGGATGATCTTGGTTTTTGTTTTGTTTGTTCTCATTGTTGTTGTTGTTTTGGCTGCATCACGCGGCTTGCGGGATCTCAGTTCCCCGACCAGGGATAGAACCCGGCCCAGCAGTGAAAGCGCTGAGCCCTAACCACTGGGTCCCAAGAGCAGAGGGCAGGCATGCATTCAGTACTTTTCAGGGGGCTTCCCTTCCCAGGGGCCACTGGAGGAGAACTCTTCATGGGGATATTTTGTGTGTGAACCAGTCTAACTCGAGTAACCAGAAAATCTCCTCTACCAGCTACACACCCATCCCAAGGAAGTCTGGATTTATGGGTTGCCTCATCCATAGCTTTCTATTTCAGAGGCTATTATGTACCAAGGGCTAACTTCTGTTCCCTTGTGCTGAAGACAAGAATAAATGACACCTGGCCTGGATAGCTAGTGACCAGGGCATGGAATAATATATAAGGGGCCTAAAAGTGAGGGAGAGGGGTCTATGATCTGAGAAGAAAGCAGCCCCATCCTCTTCATGCTGCTGCAGCTGGTTCTCCCCATCACTCAAGGTGGTAACTTAAAATTCAATGATAGGACACAGGTCAGGTGGAAGTCAGGTGTCTACCTTCTTCCCCTCTGCCAGCCTGAGAGATCTAGGATAATGCCTTTAACTTTTTTTTTTAATGACTTTGTTGTTGTTTAAGATTTTATTTATTTTGTTGCGCCAGGTCTTAGTTGCGGCTCACAGGCTCCTTAGTTGTGGCATGCGAACTCTTAGTTGTGGCATGCATGTGGGATCTAGTTAACTGACCAGGGATCGAGCCCGGGCCCCCTGCATTAGGAACATGGAGTCTTATCCAATATGCCACCAGGGAAGTCCCCAATGCCTTTAACTTCTTTCATGGGACTCTGATATTTGTGTGATGTCTGCTATACAGGGAGGAAAAGGAAGGGCAAGGATGATATAAAAAGGGAGAGGGCCAGGCATAAGACACCCAGCTGGGCAGCCCAGAGGACTCAGGGAGCATAAAAATAAGCATCTGGCCTTTATAAAGCAGCAAATATACTTGGATCTGCCCAACTCCAGAGCCACCACTGAGTGAACATGGATCTGAGAGCAAGTGAGTGACAGCCCCAGAAGGAATGGCAAGTAAGAAAAAAATTAACTCCTCAAGTTCTTGACACCACACACTGAAACTAGAGACAAACAATATTATGACATTCTCATCTGTGGCTTTTCCACCTGATATTTTCCTTTCTTGCAATGCTTCCCTGGCCCATGTGTAATGATTTTTTAGGGTAAAATGTTCTGCAGCTTATCACATATCTGGAAAACTTTGGTGAGTGTGGTAGGCTGAATAATGCCCTCCCCCCAGAATGTTCATGTCCTAATCCCCAGGAACTGTGACTACATTACCCTATATGGTAAAAGAGCTTTTGCCGATGCGATTAAGTTAAGGATATGGAGATGGATAATTCCTCTTTAGTTTCTTGGTTAGCCACTTCCTGCTGTTTTCCCTTTGCTCTTCTCTTCCCTTTTGCTTACACTTTTTTGTCTGAAGATTTGTGTTTCCTGTTGCCTTTTTGGGGCTACGTTTCTGCTTTTGCAGGAACAGGTTTAGCTGACAACTTTGCTGATTTCCACTTGTGCTCTTCCTTCGCTGCCCCTTCAGTGGAGCTGACCTTCCTCTTGGGCATCTTGGTGGCAGGTAGGGCACGGGCTGGGTGCCTGTGGGCTGAGACACATGAGAGCCTGTGAGAAGCTGGCCTGCCTGGCTGCTCCTCTCACCACACAAGGATCTTTGTAAGTGGGAGGCAGGAGGATAAGAGGAGGAGGAGATGTGAAGACAGAAGCAAGAGGTCAGAGAGGTATGTTGAAGGGGCCTCTAGAAGCTGAAAAAGGCACGGAAACAATTTCTCCCCGGAAGCCTTGAGAAGAAACACAGCCGGGCTGACACCTTTATTTTAGACTACTGATGTCCAGAACTGTGAGAGAGCAAATTTGTGTTGCATTAAGCCACTAGCTTATGGTAATTTGTTACAGTAGCAATTGTTAACTAATACAGTGGGTAATAGGGTAACACCAGTCATTCTGATTTTTTAAAATTGTGCCTAGAGGTAAGCAAGCAATGATCCTGCCTTGGGAATAATTTGGTGACAGATGTTCAAAGCTAGCAAGACATTTCTTTTCCTTTGTACGTGGAGGGCCTCAAAGCTTATTTGTGCTGAACATGGCATAGTGCATAAGCCTGACACTTTGACAGCACTCGCGAAATGCTATATACAGTTAGGCACTTAATACATGTTTTGTCCGTCTTAATAGGAATAACAACTGATTGTGGGTCAACTGGTCTTTGACAAATGAACACAGGGAATACATGGAGCAAAGATAGTCTTTTAACAAGTGGTGCCCGAACAACTGGACAACTACTTGCAAAATAATAAATACACATACAGACTTTACACACTTTACAAAAATTAATTCAAAATGGAACTCAGACCTAAGTGTAAAACAGAAAAATATAAAACTCCTGGAAGATAACACAGGAGAAAATCTAATGACCTAGGGTTTAGTGATGACTTTTCAGATATAACACCGAAGGTTCAATCCATGAATGAAAGGATTGATAAGCTGGACTTCACTAAAATTAAAAACTTCTGCTCCGGGAACAACAATGTTAAGAGAACGAGTAGACAAGACACAGACTGGGAGAAAATATTTGTAGAAAACGTATCTAATAAATGATTGTTACCCAAAATATACAAAATCCAATATACAAAATCCACTTAAAATCCAATAAGAAAACAAAGAACCCAATTAAAAAAATGGACCAAAGACCTTAACAGACACCTTAACAAAGAATATAGATAGCAGATAAGCGTAAGAAAAGGTTCTCCACATCATATGGCATCAGAGAAATACAAATTAAAACAATGAGATACCACTACACACCAATTAGAATGGCCAAAATCCAGAACACTGGCAACACCAAAAGCTGGTGAGGCTGTGGAGCAACAGGAACTTTCATTCATTGCTGGGAATGCAAAATGGTACAGCTATTTTGGAAGATACATCGACAGTTTCTTACAAAACTAAACATACCCTTATCATATGATCCAGCAATTGTCTCCCTGGTATTTATCCAAAGGAGTTGAAAACATATGTCAACAACAACAACAAAAAAACCTGCATAAGAATGTTTATAGCAGCTTTATTCATAATTGCCAAAACTTGGAAGTGACCAAGATGTCCTTCAGTAGATTATTGGATAAACAAACTACAGTACATTCAGACAATGGATTATTATTGAGTGCTAAAAAGAAATGAGCTGTTAAGCCATGAAAAGACATGGAGGAAAATTAAATTCATATTACTAATTGAAAGAAGCCAATCTGAAAAGGCAACATACTATATGATTCCAACTGTATGACATTATAGAAAAGGCCAAACTATGGAGTGAATAAGTTAAATGGTTGCCAGAGCTTGGCCAGTAGGAAGGATAAATAGGCAGAGCACAGAGAATTTTTAGGTTAGTGAAACTACTCTGCATGATACCGTAATGATGGATACATGTCATCATATACTTGCCTAAACCCATTGAATATACACGACCATGAGATAACCCTAAAGTAAATAATGGACTTTGGGTAATTATAATGTGCCAATGTAGGTTCATCAGTTGTAATAACTATACCACTCTGGTGGGGGATGTTGATAATGGGGGAGATTGTTCACGTCTAGGAGAAGTGGGTATATGGAATATCTCTGTACCTTCTGTTCAATTTTGCTCTGAATCTAAAATTGTCCTAAAAATATAAAATCTTTATTTTAAAAATTGGGGAGTAAGTAGTATAAGAAATATTCAAATATCAATTCAAATGAAATATCAAATTCAAATGAAATTTGAAATTCACATTTCAAGGTTAAATTTTAAATGAAATAATAGGTATAAAGTATGTAGTCTATGATATCCCCAGTAAATATTAGCTCCTCATACTAGTACAAGGGAAACTGACAGAGCCATGACATCCTCCTAAGCAGTGTCTGGGACTATATTACCTCTAAAAGGCCCAGCTTTCCATTGTAAATTTGTGCTAAAGATTAGCCAGTTGTTTGGCAGAACAGGCTAGTCCATTTCAATGATCTGTTAATCCCTCTTGCTGAGAGTTTAGTCTTCAGTCATCTTTGTGCTGAGAACAAAGCCAGGCAACTGGTTTGTAAGCTAGCCCTCATGAAGATGGAAACTCTGTCTTATACTTCTTTGAATGCCCTCTGCTGCATCTAACACTGTGCTTTGGACATATTTCTGAAATTTTATTTATTTAATTTCTTCAAATGGGGTCTTATTTCTGCTGTACTCACCATAATGAGAACAGGATGATCCTTCCTCCAACTCCGAGGGTGTGAACTTCCATGACTGGGCAATATGTGCCTTTGTAGTATTTAAAGAATGCAGAAGTTAGACTGGTAACTTTTGTTTTATCAACAAAGCAGAATATAAGACTGTATATAAGGCATATTCTCTTATGTGAAAACAGGGAATAGAAAATAGCTGGAAGGAAATACTCCAAAATGTTAGCAGTAGGTTCTCCTGGGCGAGTCTGATTATGGCTGATACATACAGAACCTCCTTTAGACCTAAGTAAGGGGTATTTTAGAGTCGTCCACATACCACAATCACACACAGATAAATTTATTAAAAACACATGGGTAAAATAGATGACTAATAAGAACCAACTGTATAGCACAGGGGACTCTACTTAAGACTCTATAATGGCCTACATGGGAAAAGATTCTGAAAAAAGAGTGTATATATGTATATGTATAACTGATTCACTTTGCTGTACACCTGAAACTAACACAACATTGTAAATCAGCTATACTCCAATAAAAATTAAAAAAAACAAAAACATGGGTGCCTCTATCACTCAGGATGTGCTGCTCAGAGCTGGCACAGCACAGCTCATAGCTCTTAACACCCACCTTCATGACCACACTGTTCAGGCCCTAGGGAAATGCATTTCCACATCTCTTGCCCTATATCCTCAAAAGAAAAGTTGACAGGATTTGAAAGCTGTGAAAGATCGTGGGTTATGATGATGACATGGCTTTGGAATGCTTGGACGATGTGAGGGAAAAAAGCATTGGGTTAAGAGAAAAGTCAAACATGTCAAATTCCTCCTTTAAGATAACGTGAATGCAAGAGATTCTTTCATAACAAAGTATCATTTCTCAATAATGTCAAGAATCTTTTTTCTTTCTTCTCTTGTTCTAATCCCTGGTTCCCATGGTATTCAATTCAATTAGCACAATATTTCACAAAAGTTACAAATGGTGGCTTATGAGCATTTTATGATTTTAACATTTCATATTACTTTTAAATTTGCATTCATGTATCATGGCAGCAATTCTTTATATTGGCAACCTGATGAACATAGAATGTTTAAATTTTGATTGGTTTTATCTTTATAAAACTAAATAAGATTTAATTAAAATATTAATATACCTAATGAAATTTTGGCATTTATTAATTATAATTTTAATCTTTTAAAGTTATTAGGTAATTTTGCGTATTTTAAAAGAAAACTTTTGGAAACATATAAAATAACTTTTATACTTAATTTATATGTTCTCATAAATCTGTTTGATTTTTGTATACTTTGAAATAATTATAACTTTTGAAACCTTCAGACGATTACTATGAGTTGAAAATAAATTACATAAACATCTTGAATATAATGACAAAATCAGTGATTTTGCAGAAGGCAAGAAAAATTAATTTTATGAAACAAATACATGTTATATAAAATCTTTATCACTCACTCGACTATCACCAGCCCATTAACAGATGAGTCAGATATGTGCAATAATAATGAAATTTAGTAGTCTGACATTTTGCCAGACCTCAGACACATTAAAACCATAGTTTTACACATATATATGGTTTTTGTTATTATGAGAGTATATTTGTCAAGATAGGAGGATAAAATATATTTTATTTACCAGTTTGTAATAAAGAACTAAAATCCCATCAGAAGTGCTAGATTCAATAATCCCCTTGGGCCTATGGTTGATGGAGTGTCTGTCAGCTCTCTCTCCCGT